CAAGCTAGTGGGCTGCACTTCCGCCCTCGACGCCTGGATTCGACTCGCCGCTGCCTATGGTGTTGCAACTCGTCATGGCATCCGCAACCTTAAGGATCAATTTGATACTCTCTCTTGTGGTTCTGATTCCATTGACAAGTATCTTGCTCGAGCAAAGGAAATCACCGACCGCCTGGCTGCTCTCAATCGCCCCATCTCCGAGAATGATACTGTCTCCCGCTGCCTCAAGGGACTGGGCGAGTCCTTCCTCCCGTTCGTTCGCGCTATTGAAGCCAGACCCGAGCCAATCTCCTTCGATGAGCTTCACGGTCTCCTCCTCAATGAAGAGACCTACCTGCGCCAGCATCGCCTCCTCTCCGATGGCGTTTACCCGACGAGCCACTACAACAACTTCGGTGTTCGTGGCAGCCGTGGTCATGGCGGACGTGGTGGCGGTCGCGGTCGTGGCGGCAGAGGCGACCGCTACCCATCCCCTTCTCCCAGTCATGGCATCCTTGGGCCTCGCCCTTCTGCCCCCAGGTATCAGCCTTCCACTTATGGAAACAGCCCACTCAAGTGTTTCAATTGTCAGGGATTTGGACACCTAGCTCGTCAGTGCCCCACCCCCATCCTGGCCTCTCGTACGACCCCATCTGCTCACCTTGCTGCCTCCTCCAACCCACAAGAATGGCTTCTCGATTCCGACTCCAATTATCACCTCACCTCCGACCTCAATAACCTGGCCCTCCACTCCGAGTACCATGGCCTCGACGAAGTCTCCTTTGGAAATGGTAAAAATCTTCCCATCACAAGCTCTGGTTCCTCCCTTGCTACCTTAAGCACTCATCCCTTAACCCTTTCTAATATTCTCCATGTTCCCTCTGCCTCTCGTAATCTATTATCTATTAATGCCCTCACTCGCTCTAACCCATTGTCTATCCATTTTTTTGGTTACTCCTTTGTTATTAAGGACACGCGATCTCAGACAGTTCTGCATCAAGGCCGGAGTAACAATGGTCTCTACTCCATTCCCCTGTCTATCCTTGCTTCGACCTCACCCATGGCTTTCCACACCACTCTCCCCCACTGGCATCAACGACTTGGACATCCTCACTCGCGTTTTCTTCGTCAAGTTCTACATTCTAATTCTTTGTCTGCTTCGAATAAATCGGACACTAGTCTTTGTCGTGGTTGTAGTGTCGCAAAAATCCACAAATTGCCTTTTCCTCGTTCCACCTATCATGCTCAGGGCCCCTTAGACTTGATATGTAGCGATGTGTGGGGTCCATCACCCGAACTTTCTGTTGACGGTTATCTATATTACATTCTCTTCTATGATCATTTCAGTAAATTTACATGGATTTTTCCAACTCGCTATCGCTCCAACCTTCTCGATATTTTTGTTCAATTTCGCACTCATGTTGAGAAATTCTTCAATCGCCCCATCAAAACCTTTCAAGCGGACTGGGGCGGTGAGTATAAAAAACTCGGCACTTATCTCAAATCTCAAGGAATCACTCATCGCTCATCCTGCCCATACACACTGAACAAAATGGCTGTGCTGAACGCAAACATCGCCATATTGTCGAAACCGGGCTGGCTCTTCTTCATCATGCCTCCGTTCCCATCAAGTTTTGGTCTTATGCTTTTGAAGCCTCCGTCTATCTCATTAATCGCCTTCCCACCCCTTTACTCTCCTCTCGCACCCCAATCGAGGCTCTCTACTCTTCCCCTCCTGATTATTCTACCCTTCGTATCTTTGGTTGCCTCTGTTATCCCTGGCTTCGACCCTTAAATCGTAACAAGCTTCAACCTCGTTCCTCCCCCTGTGTCTTCCTCGGCTATAGTCCCACCCACAAAGGATACCGTTGCTACAACCTTGCCACTCACAAACTCCATATCTCCCGCCACGTACTCTTCGATGAAACATGCTTTCCCTTCCAAAATGCCCAACTTCTCCCACCCATACCATCTCCCACTACTGCTCCCCACCCTGGACCAGCTTCCCTCACCCCTTTACCTACACCACCCATTCTCTTCTCCCCACCTGGGCCCTCAACCACACTTGGCCCAACACTTCCTACAGCCCACCCGCCATGAAATCCCCCTACAATCAGCCACCCTCCTCCTCAGCCCCACCAATCCTCCACACCTCCCAGCCCACTCCCCATCCCTTCTCATCCCACCAAGCCACGATCCCTCTTACCACTCGACCTCGCATACTACCACCCACCAAGGATTAGGGTATAGTATCATTCCCAAAAATTTGGTCAATTCGAGGTATAAATAGCGTTTTTTTTACTCAAAATGTGTCGTACCTTAAATTTTCCCCAAGGTACCATAGAAGCCACCTTGGGAGTTCTACGGTACTCTAGGTGAAATCCAGGGTACCGCATACCTTGAGTAAGAAAATGCTATCCAGAACTTGAATTGACTGATTTCAGACTTCATTGTCTAAATAGCAAAACTCAACGGGCGTATGGTAGGCTAGGGTACGCCCGGGCGTACGCTAGCCTTTGCCATATACATACATACATATACATACATATATATATATGTATGGTGACTTCTACGGTACCCCGGGTAAAATCCGGGGTACAGGTACCTTGGCCGATCTTAACCATTCATTCTCAATCTCCACGGCTCGCGTTTGTTGAACCTAACTGCGCCACTAAATAACTAAACATATTACAAAGAGCCTCCTTACGCGTTAAGATTGTTTTCATTCTAGTCCAACTAACTGCCCGATTAAATTAAATGGATTAAGACTGCAAACCCAATTGGGTAGACCCACTGTCGCTCTAACCAATTTCTAGTCTCCCTAACCAATTACCGATCCCTCTCTCGTCTTGGAGGGACGCCCCTTCAAAGTTCCAAGAGAAGCTCCCTATCCAATTTGAACTCCCCAACATAATCATCTTTTTGAATCCCAATTCCTTGCATCCACATTCATTTCCCAATTTCTTTTGTCTTGTTTGTTCTTCGTCATTTTATGTCCCCTCGCCTATCTCTTTCTAACACGATTACGACGACCATGTCTATTATTGTGTTCATCAAACTTTTCATTTTTCTAACCGTAGGGTTCATGTCGCTAGTGCTTTGTCATCTTGTCTTACCGTTATTGTCATTTTCTCGAAACTTCTATCTCTCGGTGAAATTAAGGTTTCCTGATATGTAGGGATCGTCTTGCCCAGAGGATTGAGGAAGGAGATGAAGAAGACAAAATTTGATTCGAATCGGATGGAGAGGTCTCCTTAATTTGTGTTTATGTATTAACGGTGCGTTTAGGACTAATTCTTGTTGGACTGGGTCTGATCATTGATATTTGCAGGCTTTTAAATAACATTCAAAAGTGGGATTGTACATGATCCATGGAATATTCAAAAGTGGGTCTGGAACGTACGAGCCCATTTCCTTTCTTCTGCCATATCATCTGTTTGTTCGGCCTCGAAGAATTTACGAAACTACGAGACTACGACCATTGATTCTTGCGCCAACCCTAGTTTAACTAGCATGACTTACCCTAGTTTAACCTACACGAGTTACCATCGTCATTAAATATCTTTCGTAATCTTCTCAACTCTTGACATTCCACTTACCTCCACAGTCCACCGTCTCCATCACCCTCATGTCTCCAGACTCAACCCCGCCAATCACTTTTTCTTACACCTACATTCTCTCTCTCCTCCGTCTTCACCTTCCCCCTGTTCCTTCTTCCTCCAGACTCAATGACAAAGAACAGTCAATCGTTTGCGGAGATGGGGATACTTTCTTTATCCAACGACGACTACCAATCCACCTCCTGTCTTGGTGACTATCTCTCGTTTTCAAGCGAAACCGCCATTGTCGCCGAGTACGAGTTCATCCACCTCAGTCCTTTCCCTCCCGAAGTGAAGACATTAATAAAAAATATTGGATGGGAAAATTTCTTTGTTCTCCAGAGTCGAGGAAGCACAAGTTACTGCCCCCATGTCGTGAGGAAGTTCTACCACAATATAAAGCTTTCTGGTCCCTCTGATTCTCATCTGGTGTTGATCTTCCTCGGACATAGAGTCTGCTTTCAACCTCATCAATTTGTTGAGATCCTTGATCTTCCCGCTGGAGGAGACCCCATTGAGAGCAGAAGCGATCTTGGGCGGCTGGACGATTTTGAGTTTGAAGTTGAACTGGCAAAACTCACGAAGGGGCGCATCCAGGCTTCTTTCCTCCCAGATCCTCTTCGATTCCTCCACTGGTTGATCGTCAACTGCTTCCTTCCAAGGTACTGTGGTCATTCCATTATTTTCAAACTTTACTTGTTTATCCTTGTGCAAGCTCAAAGAGGTGTTCCTGTTAACCTCACATCTCTAATGTGCCTGAACATGGTCGAAGCTGCCACTACAAGAAAATACATCTTCAATCACGGGATCATTCTGTCACGGGTGGACTCCCATTACTAAAAATAAATTATTTATCACGGTTACATATCCCCGTGACCGCTAGCTATTTAACAAAAATCTGGGTAAACAACCCGTGACTATTGGCGGGCGGGAACCAAAAAACTAAAAATTTCACTTGGCGCGATATTCACAATTTTTTGTCCCTTGAAATTTTTGAAGCAGCCCGCCCTAAATTTTTGGCTTATTTTGACTTGTTCTTTTAAAGCCCACTCACACTTGTTCTTTTTAAAGCATTCCCCTGCCGAGCCAAACTCTCTCACCCCCACACCCTCTGTTATGCTATCTCTCTCTTTCCCCCTCTTCCGATCTGCGTCCACACAAATTCCCCGAGATTTAGGCTTACGATTTTTGCCGCAGCAAACTACGCCTCCAAACCCTTTTCCCAGCGTCTTTCCCAAATTTCCACCGTCGACCGCCTAACTCCCTCTCCATTTTTAGATCTCACTGCATAACCCTCTTCCTAGATTCAATCGCTATCGGTCACCATCTCTAGTTCTTCGTTGCTGTCAATCTCAGCGGGATACACCAACTCCGCCGCATCTCGCTGATTTTCCCCCTGATGTTGAGATTTTTGGGCTACAACGAATGAGAAAGAAGACTACTCTTTCTCAAGCCCTCCTCCCCGGCACTTCGCAAGGTCAGATCTCTGTGACTGTTGTCGCCTCCCTTTTTCTTTCATTCTATCACCTGATCTAATCGATTCTGGGTTCCATTCCTTTGTGGATCTCCGACAGCTTCCCCTATTTGGCCATGACGTCTTAGAATCTAGTCTCCATCGCCCTTTGCTCCACCTGGTGTTCAGCAATGCATAACAATCCCATTCAGCGCCTCTCTCACAATTCAAATCATCGAACAACAGGTAAAATCTTGGTCAATCTTTTTCTTCACTTCTCTTCCTCTGTCTGCATATTGGGATGTGGTTGGATTTAAGTGGACTCTATTAATATGTTTTTTTTTGGATAATGATGATGAACTTTATTTAGACTCTATTAATATGTTTATTGAGTTCTCTGTTTCCTGTGTGCTTTAAGTGGACTCTGTTATAATGTCATCGAGTAATAAGGTTGGAGTGGAGGAAGAGGAACATAATAGTTTCGATTAGAAGGCATAATCAATTGCAGCAAAGACCCATCAATTTTGCAGAAGTGGCTATGGAAGCTTCGAGCAATACTGATGGCCAAGACTTGATAACTCACTCTTTCATTGAATCAACAGCAAGCGGACGAGTGACATGGAAAAGTAGAAGGGGAATGAAACTTGTTGATGGTTCCACTTCTTTTGGCTGAGTTTTGCCATGGATTTACACTAACGGAGTAGAATTTGTATGTACTATTAACTGAATTCTTTTTATGTAAAAACGATTATTACTAATTGATTAGTTATATTTGCTCTTTGTATTTTATATTGTATTAATAGTATTAGCATATAGTTGTGGTTCAGTCCTAACATTGGAATGAACAATTGGATTAAAAATGTCAAATTATTGTATTACCGCGACTAATATGAAAAATACCATAATCAATAACACAAACAATCATGAAAAATCTCATAGCAATCACATCTATTAATCACGGGACCATCCTGTGATTGTAGCTTGATCACGGGGGTTTACAGTGACTAATTGAACTATAAATCACGGGATTTTCCCGCTGCTATTGGCTATTAGTCACGGGATTTCCTGTGATCATTGACCTTTGACCACGGGCATGCTTGTCACGGGAAAGTTCCCGTGACAAAATACATTAATCACGGGAATGGAGCATTTCGTCACGAGAAATCCCGTGATCGAAAGTCATTTTTCTTGTAGTGCTCCCAAAGAGGAAAACTGGTATACTGCCTTTCCCTATGCCACCTTCGTCACCACCTTTCTTGAAAGGGTTGGGATGGATCTGAGCGTTTATGTTAAGGAGGACCAGTCTGCTTATTTGCCGGTGTACCGTATAGCCGAATTGACTAATACTTTTCTTGAGAATCGGCATACGGAGCATCAAGAGACCCCTGAGGCCTCCTCAAGCAAACATCCTCGGCTTGCATGAGATTCGATTAATGCAGGGCGGGGTGGAGCGTTGGAGTAGCAAAGGGGCCAGCAATGTATGTCTTTTGTTATCAAGTTTACCAAGTCTTTGTTGGGGTTTTTTTCAGTCTTTTGTCTTTTCCTTTATTCTCAAGCACTCAAAACTGTCAGGTACTGAGGGGAGCCAGTACATCATCTGACTTGGAAAGTCTGCTATTTTGATTTTTGAAATGTCCAGACCTGGAATTTCTACGCATGCAGTATTTTCTGAATTTGTCATGGCTAGGATCCTAAGACAGGTGACGAGATACAGTAATGCTCATCTCCAATGGTGCAATTTTAGTGACTTGCAAGTTGATGTGGCAAGGAGGTGCAATTGCATCTTTAAATTGCATTGATGTGGGAAGCTATTGCAAGAATGCAAATTTGCATCATGTGCAATGCTTCTTGCAATTCAAATGGACCCTCTGGGGGGCCCTTTTTTATTCTTTATTAAAGATTTTAGATGATGGAGATGATATATAAATTGTTTAGTAGTGGTAAATTAATATGTTGGTCCCACTCATTGAAATTGCAATTGGATTTCATTGTTGTAGAGAGGATGAAGTTGAAAAGTGATGTTTTCTCAAAATTGTAGAAGTGGAAGTATGGACTACCTATGAAATTTCAAATGAATTTCATTGGGGAAAATTTTAATCCGCTTTTGTTCTAAGCAGTTCCAATTAGGTCGAAGAATGTGTTACTTATTTCATCTTCAATTATTCATGGTTTTCAAAAATTATGGTTTTATTTATATATGGTCACAAGTATAGTGATGATAGGCGTAAATAGTATGGATTTTAAATGGCTTGATTATAATGAATTTTGATCTATGGTGATTTTTTTCCTTTATCATCAAGACTCATGCTTCTTTTATTCCCCTGGTGAATCTATCATGCTTCGTTTATAGTAAATATACCCTTTTAATTATACACAATAAAGAATCCATTAATTATGTAAGCCTTTTTATTGTATTTATTAATACAATGAGTTCTCTCACTAAAAGGGGAGTGCATACATCATTGGTGGAAAATCACGGAATGTAAGCCTTTCCATATCCTAGGAACATTAAATTAATTACCCAAGAATTTTTTATCTGCATTGTACGGGTTTTCGTCATTAATTATGCTAATTGGGAGCCAATCAGTTTTACTTTTTGGGTTAACCAGACATCAATGCAAATTTAATTAGACGAGGGCAATTGGGAACGAAGTGGAATGATATGATCTCAATTAGACCTCTCTACAAGATACAATGGCTTAAAACAGAAGCAACCTCACTCACAAGCTGGAAGCTGGAATTTTGGTCAAGTCTTTTGCCCTTCCGGGTAGATCACTTTGGAAGCCTGTTCGTCACGCATGGCTCGATGAAAATGGGATTTTATTGATTTGTATTGAACCAAGGATGTTTGTAAACACCTGGGATTACTTGGGAGCTGGAGATAAAGTCCAGCAGGTCCCTTTTCAGGTTGTGCAAAAGTGTAACTGGAAAGCTGGAAATTGCCAGTTTTTGGCTAAGGCAGTAGCCAGGTTCAAGCTAGATACTTGAGACTTGATTCAGAAGGGATGGCTGCGAGTTGCGACTTTAATTGGGGACGAGTTGCGACTTGCGTACTTGGTATAGGGGTTTAAAAGCAAACTCCTTTCCGAAAAGTCGATATAGTTTCCACGAAAAAACAGATATAGAAAGCATTCACCAAACCAAAAATGGTTGTCCATCATCTTGAAAAAAAAAACGCAAAATTAGGTTGTCCTTGGGCTCTTCGACTGGGTTTCCTTGTGCTCTTCTCTTTCCTTTTTCTTCCTTTCATGGGCTTTCTTGTACTCTTCGACTGCAACTTCAACTTGAGGTGCACTCTGTTCTTGCTTCCGTGAGCACCATATGCCTTATGTAGTTCATGGGCTCTCGAACAAGGTACAAAGCGATCTGCCTCCTCCTCACTTTAGTGCATGACTATCAACATCAACAAACATGGTGCTTAACGCATGATTAAAAAATAACAAACTAGTGTGGTTTTCCAATATGCGAACTAGAATTGTCTTTACCCAAATATAAGAGGAGTCCTAGCTTGCGCCATACATCCACATGCAGACCCAAACTCCACTATTAGACCTACATTAAATGAAAGCATTGCATGATAAACAAGTTTATAACTCGTCGTTTAATATCACGTAAAATGGACATACTTAACCGATGTAGTTGTTCTTGATCCTTTGAAGGATTTGTGTACGAAAACATCCTTGGTGGCGACAATCCCGGACCTTGTTCACAACAGAGAATCTTCCACAAGGCTTGCATAAATCCCATCTGTACAAATTAATAAACGTTTGTATTGAGAAAGAGGTATTTACATTTTTTTGCATTATAACGGCACAATGTCACAAATTTACCATTGTTTGAACAACTTGTAGTCGAAAGGAATTGCGGTCTTCTGTTGGTTGTGGATCCAAGATATGTACTTCTTCCTTATCCAACTTAATGACAGCCAAGTACCAATGGGCATTATCTCTCATCAGAACACACACCTACATATGCGGAAATTGTCAACACGTATTAAAAAAACCATGTAATACTTATTAAGACGAACAATTTACCTTGTTCACCATATTGGTTCGACTAAGGAATTTTGATTCGTATAAGTCTAATGCCCTCTTGGGTGTTATTCCACATGAAATCACTAGTTCCTGCTCATGTGGTAGTTGCACAATTGAAATTTTGTCAACACAATATCATTCACGTTAAAAAAACATGTGTGTTATTTGTTTGATGACATAAAATTAATCTTAAGCAAAATCGGCCCACAACCTGTAGTTCAGCAGGCAGATAGCACATTCCTTTTCCGTCCTTAGAATTTGTCCACAACTCTTCTAGAGTCAAGTGATAGGCCAGTGCTGTTATAACCTAATATAACATGGACAAAAAACACTTCATGATACTATAGATTTTTTACAAAATATTTCTACGTATAAAACATGGATAGTGGACAAACAAAATAAAATTTTGGAGTTCCGTGATTACTTCAGCATCTACGAATGAGCGAGGGCTTAAGGACCACAATGACTTCCTGGTACAAGAGTTGTTTGAAATTTTGACCAATACTTCGTCGGGTGGCAGATTGGCTAAAAATATATAGTGAGCAAGCTGGATTTGCTCATCATCGTATTCCATACCAGTAGGTAGCTTGACACGCCAAAACACAACACCAAACTGCGACCAAGTGTAATCGCAGTCCGGGAATGCAGTAACAGGCAAGTTTTATTATCAACCCGGGGTCTAGATCTACTGCTTACTCCGTGATTATCTATTATCTAGCCAACTAAGTCGAGTGATTGTTGTTTAAAGCAAAAGCAGTAAGAAAGCAGGAAATGGTTCGATTTTCTAAAGCAGGAAAGAGTCACTCGAGAATGAGCCCCCCTAGCTCCTTAGTTAGGTTCAATTGTAATTACCCTGGGTTGATTTACTGTTGATTAGACTGCGGAAGATGCGACAGTAGCTTGGAATCTCTTAAGCTGACCAAGCCCTCTCAGTCTAACTACCCGGCAGACGACTAGTCTTCACCGGGATAGAAAGCTGAAGCAATGAGCACAGAACTCCACTACTGGAATTGGATTCCAGTACAAAGCAGTAAACTGGCTAACTCTCGTATAGAAAATCTCCTACTATCGAATGAAGAGGCTCTAACAACCTAATCAGATTCTATCTATCTCAGGTTGCAGCAGAAATCAAGAAAAGCTGATCAGACTTCAATCAATTCAATAAACATGCATCATTCGATTAAAACCAAACAGTATAATCATCTCAAGTCATTACAATCAAATCCCTAACACAAGGAACTAGGGTTCTTCATACCCAAGTGAGAGAAGGGTTCTACTCCATAGAGAGAGAGAA